GCCAATTTTTGTGGGTGGAGGCACAGGCTGTGCTGAGCACAAGCTGCTGGGGTGAGTCCAGAGCAGCCTCAACCTATTTTGTGGGAAAGACCTTGCTTTGGCTCAGAGACGCAACACACCGATCATCAGCGATGCTCGCAGGAACAGCGTCCCCGGGAAGGCCCCTGCAAGTGGTCTGCAAGGAGCTCTCCAAACAGCCGCTGCCAGAGCCGGGCGAGGGAGAAAACGTCTCCAGAGGCCAAAAGCACTAGCTCTACCCTTCTCCTCCTCCGGCACTGCTCCCCTCCTCCAGGCACGCTGCAGGCTGCACTGCTCTGGCACTCACTGCACATGGAGGCAACTGAAGCACACACATGCACCCCGCTGATCAGGAGATACCACAGTTGCTGCCTCTGACACCCAAGTCCAGCGCTAAGCAAGCAGCTAAGATCCCCACAGCTTGGTTACGCACCCAGCTGCCCCGCCGCCCTCCTGCAGTCCCGTCCTTACCAGCTTGGTTTTGTCCATGGCTGCCAGGACCGCAGAGTTGAGCGCCTCCAGGGCGGAAAGCACATTTCTGTATTCTCCAAGATAGGCCGAGAAATAATCTGAAATGGGAGAGATGACCATGGTGAGCTTCCTGAGCACCTCCATCTCTGCCTGCCCTGCACCCACTGCTTCCCACACACAGTCCAGCACTGCCAAGGGGATTTGTGTCCCTCTCCAGCCACGCTCCCACCTGCCCTGAAACGCGATGTCCTTTCCTGTCCCCAGGGACAAAATGTCCCATCCCTTGGGAAAAGCACAGATGCCCTCTGTGCTAGGATTCAGGCACTTCAATGCCACTTGGCTGCCCAGTCATGCCCAGGTCAGACGTGCACAAAGCCCCACTGCAGACCCCCAAGGGAGGAAGCCCTCCGAAGACAGAACAATACTTACTGCACAATTTCTCCGTGTCCACATTACTGCAAGAAACAGAAAAACAAGCTCTTGTTAGACAGTGGAGCTGGTTTAGGAGAAAGAGCTGAGCCGGCTCTTGTGGGTTTGTCTTGAGCACCCAGTAGATTTACTGTTCCTCCGACAAATATTCAAAAGCTGTATTAAAAAAATAAGAAGCTGCCCACATTCAAAGGCAGCAGCTCAGGAACCATGCCCAGCACCTGCAGCACCCAGGCAGGGCTGCAGAGCATCACCCCTGCTTTGGGGGCTGAAGGAGCAAGAGGAGAGCGTGCCAAGTGTCCAAAATGCCATGCCAGGAACAGGTATAATAATGTAAGCAAAATCTTCCTACATCAAAGGCTGGTTTCTGTCTCACTCTATTGGGCTTCCACTTAGTGTACTTTAATAACAGGCAGTGCTTCAAGTCAGGAAAACACTTTGGTGTGAGCCGTGAGCGCAGACCCACGGCAGCGGGACCGCAGAGCCCTCGGATCAGCTGCCTGCATCAGGCGCTGCCTCGGGCGATGGAGACGGGCTGCTTTAGGATGTGATTCGGCTATTTTAAACACCTACCGCAGGAGCTGATTAAGGCAGGGCTCTGGCACACTGTCCTGGCGCTGCAGACAGTTTTGAAAGTGGATTAAAAAAAAAAAAATAGTGTTTCCCTTGAGATGCAATACAGATAATGGGCAAAACCACAGCCCCTTCTCCTGCAGGCTCCACTCCATCAAACTTTGCCGATCCCGCCTCCGAGCAGCTCCACGCATCCGACCGCAGCTCTGCTAGCGCGACTGGGGTTTGCAGCACACATTTACATTGGGAAAACGTCTTGCTCCTTCTTATTTTTTCCACTTATTTCTGAAAGCTGCCTGGAGCCTGCAGAGCCACTGCTGCTGCGCTGCCACAGAGACTCGACCCCGCAGCACTGCCTGTTAGACCCATGCGGCCACTGGTTCCCATCCAAGAGAAGGGTAAAATCACAAAAGAGGGGATGGGGACACAAGAGAACAAAACACACAGTGAAACACCTAACGCATACGGTACCCAGTCATTTGCACTGTCCCCAGTGAGAAGCCGGGGCTGGGACTGGTTTCACCAGGAAGAAGGGGCCAGCAGCTCAACCCATGCCCAGCTCCCCACCTCAGCTCTGGCGAGCAGGCATGCCTGTGACAAAAGGCTCCTGTCAACACCAACCCCATGGCTTCCAAGGAGAGGCCAGAGATTATTAATAACCCTATCTTGCCTGTTTGCTGCTTAAAAACAAACATTAACTAATCAATCGCTAAAACACTGGACAGTTAAACATTGCCAAGATCTTGTGGCAAAAATCAGCCCTGTGGGAGTTCTCCAGGGGGATCTGCTCCATTACCAACGCAGCCTGCTCTGTCAGCATCCCTGCATGGCCACCTCTTCCCAGGTTCTCCATCCTGCCGCAGCCCCCAGGGCACAGCTGGGGGCAGGACAGAGTGTTCCAGGAGCAATGGTGCCATCTTCATGTTACCAGGAGTTACTGAGCTACTTCGTACTAGAAACTAGGAAAAACTCATATAAAGGACCTGCCATACCCTAAACCATTTTGCAGGGCTGCAACGGGACAGCAGGCTTCCCTCTGCTCCTCTCTGCCATCCCCTCTCCCACTCCAAGAGAAGAGCCATCCTCTGCCTCCAAAGCACTCATCCTGAGACTCTCCACATTTCCACATAGCTGTATTTTGACTGTGCTCAAACCACTGATTAACTGTAATTAAGCCTGAACTGATGATGAAGGATCTTGTCATCATTATGCTGTTGGGATTTTGTCAGAATGCGCCTGGAATTCATGCAAGAAAACAGCAATCAGCTTCAGCAAAGCAGCTGGGAAATCTTTTTATTTTTACTATTTATCATGTTGGGAACCTCTGCTGCCATCACAGCTCCGGTTTCCAAACCTTTCCAGCGTGACCCAGAGTGTTTCAGTCACTCTCCATCATTCAAACACTGGCAGAAGCTGTGGGGCTCTGAGTGTCTGACTAAAGAGAGGGGAGGAAAGTTCACACAAGTCCCATCTTCCACAGAACCAGAGGCTTGAGATTACTGACACTGAGAGCTTTTTAAAACCATCAGGTCAGCATTCCCACCTCTTTCACTCCTGGCTCAAGGTCAGAGACAGGCGCTGGGCAGTCTGTACCCAACTCCTGCCACCACCACCTGACTGCTCTCATGCTCGGGAGCATTTGCCAGACCTTGATTTTCTAAATCTTCACGACAAATGCAGGGCAGAAAGACACATGAGGTTCATGCGACACTTCCCAGGGCAGGTTTCACAGCCCCCTGCAAAGAGCAGTAGGGATGCAACTGATGCAGCACCACAGCGGTCAGTCTAAAGCCCTCTGGAATGAGCTCTCAGTTAAGTTGTCCCTGTGAGACCCTGGGATGTGCTGCCATCCTGCCCGGCTGGGCTGCAGACGGACGCACTGCCGCTCAGCGAGCAAGCCGCACTGCACGTCTCCCAGCATGCTCTGCAGCAATGGAGCTTCTTCCTCCCTTCAGAAACATCTGTCTCTTCTCACCCAGATGTTTCAGTGGATGCAAATGCACTTTTCCAGCAAGATGAATCTTTCTGTTCTGCAGCAGTGTCAGAGCTGGTGTGGAGCTCTCACAAGTCAAACGGCGGACCTAGCTGTTGTACCAAATCGCCATGAAGAGCTCAGTTCAGTTTCAACGTAATTTTTTAAACATCAAAGAATTAGAGCAAGGAAATAATTTTAAGCCAAAATGGAACAGTTTTCAGAAATGCAGAATAAAAAAAGCCTCATGGAGAAACACAGAATCTGAACCAAACCCACCAGAGGCGCCTGATGTACAGGCTACAGCATCCCACCTAAGCACCGGCTGGGTGGGAGGTGGAGAGAAGATCTGATGGGAAGGATGGGGAGAAAAGGAGAGTGTGGCTCCAGGATCTGTGAGCTCTCTGGAAGGAGAAGTAATGTATGAGTGGAAGGTGTCCCTGCCCATGGCAGGGGAGAACCAGATGATCTTGAAGGTCCCTTCCAATCCAAACCATTCTGTGAGACCTCCAAAATACTCATCCTCCCAGATGTCACCTTTGGGGGCCAGGGGAGCAGCTGCGGGTTCGCAGTGATGCATGAGGGTCAGGGTGTGTCTGGCAATGCTCCGTTACCCAGACACAGAGAGTGCCTGTGGATAAAAGCCTCTGACACTGCCCCTCCTTGGGTCACGCTGGCACTGACAAAGAAACTCCAGTTTTTGGCTCTACCTGATGAACACAGCACCCTTCTGGCCAAATCCACCCACCAGATTAAGGATGGAACTTTCCCATCATCAAAAAAGCTGCAGGACATAAAAGTAGCATGCCAGGTATGTTTGTAGAGCTTGTAGTTGCTTTCCAGCTTTCTAATACTTTGAATATTATCCCAGCTCTTGAATCCGGCAGCAAATTTCAGGCAGCTCTCAAAAATACTAAGTTCCTGTAAAGACAAGGCAATCAGACAGCCCGGAGTAAGGGGGTGTCCAGCTCTTACAAGACACCAGAGGTTGTATAAGGAACACGTCCCTCTGCACACCCCAAAAAAAATACCAGAAAGTCCAGCTCTACAAACAGAGCCACAGAGACCTCGCTGAGGCCACACACACTAAACACGGTTTGATTTCTGTTACCTGCCACTGTGCAGAGGGTGAGCAGTCCTTGGGGACAGACCTGTCCCTCCAAACCCCTGTCCCAGGACCAGAGCCCTCCAGCAGATGCAGCGCTGCTCTATTTGCTTTGCAGGGTGGCAGGATGCCTCTCACCCGACAACAAGTGGAGCACCAGGCTCTCTCTTTGGGAGCTCCCACCTCCTCCGTGAGCTGGGGATGCGCACATGCGCGTGGGCCGTGTCCCAACCTGGGACAGAAGCAAGAACTACACCTGCCACAGCCTCAGGGCTGGACCTTCCCTTCTCCTCCTGCAGAATGAGAGCATCCTCACAGGCCTTGAGGGTCGGCGTCTCCTACGGTTGCTTGAAGTCACTGAACGCAAGAATTTGGAAACCAGCTCTGTCCACAGGGTCCCTTCTGCTCTTCATGGCAGAAAGAGATCAAAGATCCAACGGGCATGCCCTGCTAATAGATGTCACCAGCTCAGTGCTGCAACTGCCACGTTGTCATAGCTACCGCACTGTCATTATGGGTAACAAGTACAGAGAGCACTGCTGCAGCCAGGGCCGTGCACAGCTCTCGGGGCTGGCCTGCTCGCAGGGGCCTCCGGTCAGTCCTGCTTATCTGCTCTGGGCAGACAGAAGAGGTCTGACCTGAAAGCGATGGTAAAACAAGAGATCTTCGCCTTTCTGTTAAGGGCACAGTTACAACTCTGCTTTGCTGCAACAATCTTCCGTATTGTATGGGGGAGAACAGGACCCCAGGGTCACCCCAAAATGGAGCATTTGCAGAGGAAAGGGCACAGCTCACTGCTAACTCCTTGGGATCACAGCCCAGAGGGACAGGTATTCTCAGACAACACCTCTTGCTGCCCACATCCAACACACCCAACTGGTGGGACAGGCAGCAACAGGCAACCAGGCTTAAAAGCAAGCAGCAGCAGGGGCTGCACACATCAGCCCACCTCTCTGCCCCAGCACTAAGGAGAGAGCTAAACCCACCACTCTGACACTCGGCAGGAGTGTCACCCCACTCCCCCAGTCCTGGGTGGATGATGTGGGGACTTGCAGCTGCTGTCAGTGGCACAGTGGCATTCGGTGGCTGTTGCCATCTTGGCATGGCACAGACCCTCCATGCCTCTGCCCAGGGACCAGCACATGCAGCTGAAGCTGCTCCGAGTTACCTCTCCCTGCGGAGACCGGCTCAGGTGCTGCTCTGGCCGAAGGAGCCAGAGGTGCAGGAGGTACTTCTGGGGGTGCCAGGGAAGTGGTACAGGCCGGAGCCAAGCCTGCAGCCCGAGACCAGGAGGAAGCTGCAGTCACCTTCTCCCCCACAACAGCCCTCTGTTGGGACAGGCAGCCCCCAGACACGCAATTTATCAACGGCTGGTTTCCCCCAGCACCAAAACACACTTGTTGGCAGCAGCTGGCGGGGCAGAGGGACCCCAGCAAGGGGGGATCTGCAAGACTGGGACGAGAACCCAGCCAAGCCCAACAGACTCTTCTGGACAGCACCAGTCAAGAGCAGTTCATGGTTAAGTGCAATTACTTCTCCTGTTCTTCGGGGGTTTCTTTTAAAAAAAGTAGCTGGCCTAAATTCACAGTTCCACTGGCGAGGCCCACTTCTGGTGGAAAGCAGCTCTTACGTAAGTGAAAAGCAGTTCCCTGTGTCAGCAGTGGCAACGTCTGCGACTTCGCACAGTCTGTGCATTGTCCTCACACCACCACATGCTCCTCCTGCAGACACAACCTGCCCCACAGAGCTGTGTATTTCTGGAATGCATTTTTCCAACTAAGTAAGAGAATTTTAAATGGATGCTTGCTTTTATGGAACTACAGTAAATCTGATAACGACTGTTCTCAAAATGTCTGGCTTCTCTCATCCCCAATGCTCGTAGCTGGTGTTCAATGGGTTTTAACATCTGCGTGTTACAAGAGGTGGGTTTATCTCACCCTTACTGTTTATCGCACCCGCCTCCAAACGTCCTCCATCTACAGTCAAGCAGCTTTATATTCTCCTTCGTCTCCCCTCCTCTGTGCCACCACGGTACTTACTCTGAATGATGCCTGTCAATGCCACTGAACAACTCCCACAGCTCCTCTGAGCTCAGGATCCCATCAGCGAAATAGTTCTTGAACTCCTCAAATGACAGCTTCCCATCATCTGCATTTAAATAAAAGGGAAGAATAATTATATATCTGCAGAAAGAAGCACACGGGCCCCAGTGATCCTCCCAGCAGCCTCTCTACCGGGAGCGTGGGACGGTTGGGCGTGTTGTGCATAATAATTAGAGCAGATCTCTCACTGAAAGCATGTCCCACCACTCCCCAACAGAAACCCAGGAGCGCTGGCAAGCAGGGCCACTGCTGCTGGAACTTCAGGTGGGAATTTCAGCCCCTTCCAAAAGGCCCCATGGCAATGTCTGCAGAAACGCATGCAGACAGTCTGCACTTCGAAGACTGTCCAAGCAGAGAGTCCATCACAAACAGAACAGTGAGGACAGCATCACGTTTTCATAGAAAGAAAATCTTGCCATTGACTCAAGAGATTTTTCCTTCCTCTCTGTGGAGGACTTCAGCTTCTGGGCTGCATTTGGAGCAGCTCCTGGAGCCTGCAAGCTACTGTGAAGAGCCCAAGATGGGGTGGGAAGGCTCAGAGAAACGACTGGTGATTTTGAACTTCTTGGTTTTTGGGTGTCAGACTGAAAACCAGGTAGCAAAGGGTCGCTCTCAAATGCCAGGGGCTCCAGCGGGCCAGGAACAAGGCCACCCAACCAGGGGCACCTGTAAAACCCTGGACTGAGCACGGACACTGATCAGTCCTGCAAGGGATGGAGCACAAGCCTGACAGCCCCTGGGCTGCCTGCTGCAGAGCATGCTTTGCCTTCCCTTCTCACTGCTAGCAGCGCAGAGGAGGGACTGTGCATGCAGGCAGAAGGGCTCGGAAGGGGCTCTGTCCTGAGTGGTGGCAAGTTGGATGGTGAACTAGGGAAGCCCACTTCCCCAGCCCCTAGCCAGGCCCTTTGCTCCAGCGCCTCTTCCTCCAGGAGAAGCAGAAAAGCATTTTTCTTGCAGCCCAAGAGCTGCTTGCCCTTCTCCTTCACTCTTGCAGCCAAACCTGCCAGCGGGGACAGGCAGTGGCAGGAAGAAAGAACTCACCATTCTTGTCGGCTCGTCGGAAAATCTACAAGAGAAAAGACGACAAGGTTTAGTGAGGCAGCAGGGAGAACAGTGCGGCTGAACAGCAAGCCAGGCTTCACCCGGCACCGCCACCATGGGAAAACTGCCTCCCAGAGCCCGGGGAGCCATGGAGAAGCCCCGCAGCCAGGGCTGTGCAGGGGAAATTCCCCTTTGCAAACAATTAAAACCATTTCTCGCCTCCAGTGCGCAGAGCTCAGGCACAGACACCGCTGCCTGAGCCAGCCCAGCACTAGCACCGAGCTTCCTTTACAGAACACAGAGCGAGATGAAGTACAAAGGGCTTCACTAGACCCGCGTGATGGCAAGTGTTTAATTTTTCAAACCCTTTAAATGAAAGAACATTAAGCAGAAAAAACACTCCATAATGGGAGCACTTTGTGCATCACCGCTGACACCTCAACCGCCTGCACAGAGGAGCAGCTCTTGTCCTGCACTTTGTAATCACAATCCTTCCTGTGACACCCCAACACGCACACACACTGTAATTAATAATTAATCTGTAACTAATTCTGCCACGGAGCACAGCTGGAGAGCTGCTCCAGTTTCAGGGTCTCCACCCAGGTTCCTAACCATGAGGCTTCTGTCCACGGCCCAGGAGAAAGCTGGCATTTCTTATCCCTGCCTGGCTCCTCTTCCAATTATCGGAAGGACTGGGGTTGATGCCCGTGAGGAACAGCGCCATTCCAGATGCCTGGGAACATCTTGCCAGCCCAAACAGTACAAGGTTTTAGCCAGCAAATCCTAACAGAGCCAACAAAATAAAGCTCTATGTGTGGCAGCTTTCTTCTTTTTAATTATCCTGGTTGATGAAGAAATCTGAAGGTCTGAAGAAAGATCGGGAATGAAGAAGGGCAGGAAGAGGGGAAAGCTGTCTTTGGTGTGTTCTTTTCCACATACCTGTGAAGCAGAGACCGCTGATAAAACCACCCCCGGACCAGTTCTGCTCCTTGCTGCAGGAAAACGCATCGCTGCCAGCTGCCCCCTCCACCCCCAGCTCCCTTCTGCACCGCTCACCGACAGCTTTGCTGAGCATTTTGGGGGCACAAACCCATCTCCCACCACTGAAATGGCCCCGAAAAATCGCCCTGAGGTAAAGAAACAGCTGCTCAGGGAAACCCCGGCTGCACACTCCTGAGGATGCCGCTGGCTTGTAACCAGGCAGACTGTTCTGATGCAGGTCCCAGCAGGGAGCTCCCTGCTCCTTCCCCACAACCGAAAACAGAGACACCTCCTCAGAGGATGCTCCTCTGAGCAAGCCAAGTTCCTCCTGACCCGAGCTGCTGCAGGGAACGGAGGCTGCCCTGAGCCGACCAGCGTTAGGTAACTGTCCCTTTGGGATGCAGGCTTCCAGCCGGCCAGGCTGCTTCCCCTGCAGGGAAGCAGGGCAGGCACTCTCCGAACACCCCGTCAGATGCGCTCCAGAGCTTTACCACTCCCGGCTGGGAGAGGAACCCGCAGCTCCCACACGCTGGGGATTTCTTTGCGTTTTAAGGCAAAACTTTCTCAGGCTAGAGGGTTTGCTTGCACATGGGGGGGGGTCCCACGGCTGCAGGGTTACACATCCTGGGGCTCCCTGTCTGCGGGGGCATCTGCCTGTGCCACCCTGCCTCAGGCATGCCACCTTCCACCAAGGCAAAGGCTTCATCCTGCCATCGCAGGGACACATGGCTCATGCAACACCACCTCTGTGACTCTGAATGTCACTGAGGCTGGCTACTCATCCCAAAGACAAGTGTCATCCAGGCACTTAAATGCAGATTCAACTGAGGTTAAACACTTCCCACTCCAAGGCTGGCCTTGCTCAGCAGGGTCTGTCTGCAGGCTAAGAGGGAGCGCACAAATTTGGAGGCAGCTGAGAAGGTCTTTAATGCAGGGGGAGCCCACCCTGGATTCACCACAAACCTCAGCACACAGAGCTGACGCTCCTCCCTCGCACAGGGGATCCTCTGCTCCAGCGGTGCGTTAGAAAAGCCCTGCCAGCGCACACAACAGCTGCCCGAAGCACAAAATAAATAAACATGGTGCAAGCAGCAGAACTGCGAGAGCTCTGCGAGGCAAGGCCACCTCTGCTCCACATCCCCTGGGGATGGCGGGGCTCCTTGCTGCCTCCAGCGAGCCCATCCTTGCGTCCAGGCATTTATTTGGGGATGAACCCCACACACCCCGGGAAGGAGGGACATTATAGGGCTTCACACTAACTGCAGGGCTGGAAGCAACCGCAGCTGCTGGACGTGGAGCCAGGGACATGCCAGCTGCTGGGGAGGGGACAGCTGCCCTGGGGACAACGTGCTCATCAACCCACCGCGGGCTAATGCGTGCTGCAGCCGGGCGCTGGTGAAAAACGGCAGGCTGTCCATGCAGCTTTTCTGTACACAGAGAGGGGAATAAGCAAGCCCCAGCACCAGGCTGGGGGGACGAATCTCCCAGAGCCTTGAGATGTCTGCACAGAAACAACTGCCATGGCAGCACTGCAGTTCGTACCGCGCCTGCAGCAAAGCTTCTCAGGCAAAGCCTCCTCCTCCTCACCTCTCCATCTGCGGGCAGGGAGACAGCGGCTCTGGTCCCAGGGGAAGCACAGCCCGAGGGCAGGCTGGGACCCTGCCCTGCTGCAGCAGGAGACAGCCAGCCCTGCCATGCCTGGGGGGCAGCTGGAGACCAGCCAACCGCCCGGATCCAAAGGCGGATATTAAACTCACCCTGCCAAGCTCTGGAGCTGAAGCGGGAGTAAAGAGAGCCACAGGGAAGGGGAAGGGAAGCCGCCAGAACCCGGAAAGCAGCCGCTAGCACTGTTAACACTTCCCATTTTAATTGCCTTAATGATGCCCTGAGGGATAGATGTGGGACTCAGCAAGCGCTGGAGGAGCTGAGCTGGAACACAGCTGTCACCGCCAACCCCCTCCAGCCCATCTTCCATCAGCCAAGTAATTAGTGCGGTTAATGATGCTGGCTGGAGAGCCCTGCAGTCTGAAATCCCCCCACGGCAGGGGAGAGACCCTGACTCCCAGCTGGAAGCTGTGTGCAGCACCACAGCAGAGGAGCTGTGCTTTCCGGCTGCTCCCTGGTGAAGCCAAGACTGGACCAGGCATGGCCATTCACCTTCCCAAAGTGCTGCCTGAGATCTCCTGTTCCCCTCCCCTGGGATGAACTGGGGTCGGCATGCCCAGACGGGACCGGGACAGGCTGGAGATGACAGCTGGCACTGTCCTGGGCTGTCCAGGTGCTGGAGCACCACACCAACCCTCGCCCTTAACCCTTGCTTTCTCCTCCCCAGCCTCCTTGGCTCCCAGGGCGACTCAGACCCCGGTGGTGCTGGACTCGGGAATGCAAGGGCTGGTAGCCCACCGGGGAGATTCAGATGCCGCCCACCAACCCAGGCACCCTGCAGCTCATGAAAAACAGCCAGGAGCAGGGGGCTGAGCACCTCTGATGTGCTCCAACAGCAGAGGTGGGCTCTGACCCAGGCTGTGCCACTTGCCCTGGAGATGCCCAGGCACGCGACTGCCTGCCCGCCCTGCCAGGTGGCACAGGGGGACAGGCACTGTCCGCCCCACAGCCCTGGCCCCAGGGCTCCCCCTCGACAGCAGCACTCTCACCACGGGGCTTGAGGGGACATGGCACGATGGGGAGGCATCACGCCAGGACCTGTCTTGTGGAAATGAAGATGGCCAGCGTCCACATCTTCAGCTGCCCAAGCCACCCCGATGCCCGGCCGACCTCCAACCTGCACAAAGGGCATCCTCCTCCACAGCTCCTGGCACGTTAGGAGCGGGCAATGGACACGCTCTCTGTAGGATCCCACGGC